CGCAGGCGGGGCGGGCGGAGGAAGTGGCCCGGGGAGGCCGGAAGCGGCGCTGACGCGGGGCTGGCGAGCGGGGCGCTGGCCGGTGAGCGGGGTCGCGGGGAGGCCCGGCGGGAGGCTGCGCGTCCGGGTTGGTGAGGACAGTTTTCCCGGCGTTTCCCGGTGAAGCTGGGGGTTGTCGGGCAGAAGCAACGGCGTCTCGCTAGAGGAGGGAGTCAGTGCGGCCGGGTCGCTGAGGGAGGCGGCCTGCGGCAGTGGGTAGCTCACCGGGCTGGAGGTGCGGGTGTTTCTGAGCCCCGGGTGCGGGTGGGGAGAGAAACCCGACGCCTGCAAGGCACGGGTAGGGAGAGGGGTATTGTGAGATGAGGGATTTGGCCAGGACTTTGGGATTGGCGCACTGACAGCCCTGAGGTGTAGGGGTGGTATTTTTCGGCAGTAGGAGTTGAGGCTTGGTCTCCTACACCCTGTTCTAAGGAGCCCAGGGTCCCGCGCGCCTTGCTTTACAGCTGAAGTGATGCTGGCTTGCAAACTACCTGTTTTACCATCTGCTTTACTCCCAGCTTTGCTGCTTGTCTACTTTTTGGAAGACTCAATCTGTTTGTCAAGCAGGCTGATCCTTCTCTGTTGCTTTACTGATGCCAGGTAGCAAAAACTAGTCGCCGGCTTCCATACCCGTTGGGATGTGTAATTAAGCATGCTGCTTCACCACAAAAGATGAACTTTAAGGCCTTTTCAGACACAGAGCAGTCAACCCAACTGCTGCAGTAGAGGGAGATATGTGCCACCATGGCTAGAAGAGGGATTTAACCCTTGCAGAAAGAAGAAGTGTCAGCCTAGGAAGCAGCAGTAGTCCTGCATTGGCTCCTCCCAGGTAACTTCAAAGTAAGTGTCTAACTCCTTTAATGTTACAAAGGGTATAGCACACTACAGTCCAGAGATATGTTGACAGCAGTATTTATGTCTGGTGCTAATTATTGTCATTTTTAGTAGGCATTGCCAATGGATGAGCTGGTGCACGACTTGGCCTCAGCTTTAGAGCAGACTTCAGAGCAAAACAAACTGGATGAGCTATGGGAAGAGATGGCGCTAAGCCCACGGCAGCAGCGGCGTCAGCTTCGCAAGAGACGGGGTCGTAAACGACGCTCAGACTTCACCCACCAGGCAGAACATGCCTGCTGCTACAGCGAGGCCTCAGAGTCGAGCTTGGACGAAGCTGTCAAGGATTGCCGTGAGGTGCTGACAGCTAATTTCAGTGACTCTGATGACATGGCGGTGGTCAAACGGCATCCAGCTCTTAGTGCCACCCTGAGGAGCAAGCAACACTTGTGGCATGAGTCAGACTCCTTTACAGAGAATGCACCCTGCCGACCTCTCAGGCGCCGGCGGAAAGTCAAACGTGTGACATCGGAGGTGGCTGCCAGTCTCCAGCAAAAGCTCAGGGTGTCAGAGTGGAACTGTGAGAGGGGCTGCAGGTTCAAGTCAGCCAAGAAACAGCGTCTTTCACGCTGGAAAGAGAATGCCCCTTGGACATCATCCAGTCATGGCCTTTGCGAGTCAGGAGAGAACAGGCCCTTCCTCAGCAAGGGGGGAAGGAAGGAGCGGATGGAGTGTGAAGCCGATGATCAGAAACAGGGTTCAGATGAAAACATGTCGGAATGGTGAGATCTCAGTTTCTTCCCTGTGCTAGTCAGATGGCTGCCTTGCTTGCAGCTGCTTGTAAATGCTGTGCCTTGCTTTATGAAGTTCTTAAAATTATTCAGTGCTGCTCTTTTTGTGAAGGTGAGAAATCTCTCAGCTGCTTCTAAAATGTAGACTTTTTCAAAGTCTTTCCTGTCAGTATTGTATGATGACCCAGGAAAGTTGGTAAGCTGGTAGGTTTCTGGCTCCTGTTACACAAAGAGTCCACTGCAATGTCAGTGGCCTTGCAGCTACAACGTGGCATGCTTGTGGCCGGTGGTTCCGGGACTAAACCCCCAACTGGCACTTGTGTTGCGTGATTGATACGAGCTGATCACAGTTCCTTATTTTCAGCACTTATTTAAGTAGTAGTAGTAGAAAACAGATCAGATCTCCCATCATTACTGCTGGCCCTCTGTGCAGGTACTGTGTGAACCTCAGTCTACCTTGCAGTTCTACATTTCTGCTCTTGACCTGATCGTCAAAGCTTAGCTATGGGGAAAATGTGGTGAGACGATGAAGAAGTTGAGGGGAACTTATGTTACTTACAGAATAAGCCTGTGCAAACAGTGGAGTCTGATGTCTTGGTGTCCAGTTTTGGAGAACTTTGATGAATTTGTGGCAGAATCACATACAAGTGATTAAAATGTGACATGTAAATGTCATGGTCTAAATTTGCGTTGCCCTTGGGAATTTTCTTCCCCAACTGTGACTTTTATTCTCTCTGTCTAAGGTTTGGGATCATAAAACTGCTTCTGTCAGAAGAGATTTTTCAGGTTAGAAAAAAGGCAACTGCTGAGAATTCATTGGAGGAAATTTCTTAATGAATAGCATACAAAAAGCAAATGTGATCGCTGATTTTCTAATTGTCATTGTGTAAAAACAGCAGACATTGAGGAGCCATTTAAAACAAACAAAACGTATTATTTTTTATGAAAGATGAGGTCTGGAGCTCTCTACTGCAGGACATTTTAGAGGTCAAAATTTAAATACATTCAAAAGGGAGATGTGGAGTATAGGCATGTCAGGGGCTGTTAAACATTACAGGCCAGATGAAAGATCCCACTCAGGAAGTCCTTAAACTGCTGACTTCTAAAAGCTAGAGGAGCATACAGGGAAGTCTGTGTTTGTCGTGCTCTCATGTTCTTTTCTCAACCACTGTAGTAGTCGCTGTCAGAGGAGGGTGGATTTGAAAAGTCTAACTCTTTGATACAGTATGATTGTTCATATGTTGAGGTTCAGTTAAGTGTTGTGACAGTCTAAATCCTGTAGTTTGTCAGAGAGGACAGGTGGCATTTCATTATTACAGCTTTGTGGGTAATAGCTGGAATTGCAAACTTCTCAGTGGTGTTTTCTGGCACCCTGTGAAAAGCTTAGGTTATAGTAAGTCCTCACTGTGGTCCAGGGAACCACTATTGCATTTTAACTGGGTCAGTTGTGATCTGTAGTATGTAACTCTTACAGTGGGGTCACTTTTTTATTTTAACAGTGGCTGTTGTTGCTAAAAAGTGGGTGTGAAGTGGGGCTTTACAATAAACTTGAGAATGGAAACCTTTTGTTGCTAGTTGTTAAATTAGTTTTATCTTCTCAGAGCTGTTTGCTAGTAGTCCAGGAAAAGAAGCGTGCTAAGTAGCTCCTGAATAGTGCATGTCAGTGGTGATGGACTGAGAGATACCCTTACTAGATCTGGCAGTGATGGACAGTGTTCCTTGAGTTGGTTTTTTCAACACCAGCCAGTCTGTTCCATCATGTCAGACTTGAACTTAAACCAGCAGGCTTTCATCCAGCCTTTATTTGTGCCAGCTTTGGAAAGAGTAAATAAAGAGCTGTATCCAGACTGTTACTTGAGGACCATGCTGGGAGATGGCTTTGTTCTGTCTCAGTTGTCCCTTGCTCTCAGACTAATTATTGTGCAAGTGTATGCATCAAATGACACTTACCATCTGCTGCCAAATCCTTGTGATTCTCTCTGGAAAGCTAGTGCATGGAATATTTGACCTCTCCAACACCACATGTGTGATCTGTGCTGTGACTCACTAGGGAGGGCCCCAGTTGGAGGCAGTAATACGTACAGCCCTCTTCGCTGCGGAGTATCCCTCACAGCAGCGAAGGATCATGCTGTGGTCTCTGCTGCTCTAAATATAGCTCTTTGCTGCTGGCAGCACAGTGAAACTGCCTGTGTTTGCCTCACTCCCACTGCGCTCTAGCTGTTTTTTCTGGTACAGTAAGAGAAGTACTTTTCACAGATGTATGACAAGGGCATATCCTGAGGAAAGGAGAAGAAAATTGGATGCCTGGGAGAGCAAATGGTGTGGTTGCCATCACAAGCTGATGGGACGAAAGGTGACTGATGCTGCTTGTGAGACTTGTAAGCAATCTGTGATGATCTGGTGATTTACAAAACCTTCATACTGAACTGGTTCCACCACTGTTCACTCCTCTGGCAGTAGGGAATGTGACAAAACGAAATGGGTTTTCAAACAAACTAAGTTCTGTTTTCAGAATGGCTTTTTTTTAACCTTCTTTTTGCTCCCCTACACTGGCAATTTCTTTGGTTTGTTATGCAGGAATGACTCTGTAAGCACTGAATAACCTGTATTTTCTCTGCTTTCTAGAAGGCTCCTTATCCTAAGTCAGGTCAAAGACCTGTTTATTCAGTTGATAAACTCCCATTCACTGAGAAAGTCTTGGATTGGGTTCTTAACAAGGAAATGGTTTTTTCCTGGTTTGTTTGTGGGACTATGCCCAGTCCTTTCCTGGAGGAAGATGAGCTGCAGTATTGTGATTCAAGTGTGCATATAATGAAATCTTTGAAATTGTTTGCCAAATATGGCAAAAGGTGAACATAAATTGAGAGAAGGATGGATGTGCAGGAACACAATAAGGAAATGATGATGGTTCTGAATCCATGACCCAATGCCTGATCTATAAATAACTGTGGAAACAACAAAGGAAACAAGTTTTTGTTTAAGCAGTCATTTGTATACTTGTGGAAAGGTGACAATTAGCTCCTAAGACTGTTAGAAGTAATATGCCTTTCTGTCCCTAAATGTTTTGAGATTCTCTGCAGCCATAATAAAACAAAGGCAAATTATATATTGAGTGCTGAAGTTTTTTCTCTTGTTGATCTAAACTGAGTACTTCCAGAATGGTCTGGGTTTGGTTTGAGGGCAGAACAAACCATAGCACAAGAACTGTCTAAAAATCTCTTTGAGTAGTGTGTTTACTTGTGAAAAATATGCAGTTGGTCTCATCTGTTTTCAAGTACCAAAACTCTTTCTGTGACTTTTTCAAACCTGGGATTCAGCTGACCTGCCAATGAGAGGGTCAATGTGAGATTTCACTGGCTTAATGCTGATGTGTTTGTTGTGGTTTAACGTGGATAGGCAGCTTAGCTCCATAAAGCCACTCCCCTGAAGGGATGAGGGAGAAAAATGGAAGAGTAAAAGTGAAAAAACTCTCAGCTTTAGGTAAAGTTGATTTAGTAGGTAAAGAAAAAGCTATAGTGTGCAAGCAAAGCAAAATAAGGAATTTGCTACTTCCTGTCAGCAGGCAGGTGTTCAGCCATCTCCGGGAATGCAGAACTCCATCATTTTTAACATTTGGGAAGACAAACACCACAACTCCAAATGTCCCTGGCTTCATTCTTCTTTTTCCCAGCTTTTATTGCTAAGCACGACATTATATGATGTGGGATATCACTGTGGTCAGCCAGGGTCTGTTGTTCAGCCTGTGTTCCCTCCCATCTTCTTGTGCACCTCCAGCCTGCTCACTGTCAGGGCAGTGTGAGAAAGCCTTGGCACTGTGTGGGCAGTGATCAGCAATAACTAAAACATCCCTGTGTTATCAACACTGGTCACAAATCCAAAATACAGAACCAAAGTGCTACTATGAGAAAAATTTAACTCTCTGCCAGCCAAAACCAGTACAATGCTCTGGTCTAAGAATGTGACCATCGCTCATCTTGAATATGCAGTTAAGTTGCTTTACCCTTTGGAAGGGAGCTGCTTTGATGACAGTCTGCAGTTGCATTCATGAGTCTGACTAAGCTGATGAATTGGAGGCCAGTCTCTCCATTAAAAAAAAAAAAATTCCTCTCTCCTGGAAGGCAAGTGACAAAGACAGAGTGTTCCGCTTCCCCTCCTTCTCCAGCCCAGCTGACCTTCTGCAGCCCCTCGGTGCCTCTTGTTTTCTTATTTTTATAGAAAATCAATATCCCTCCTGACACAAACAATAGCTCAGGCAAAAGAATAAATGGGGAAAACCTGAGATCTCTGTCCATCAGCTCTCAGTTTAACTCCCCCAAACTATTTAATTATAAGCATGCTTTGCTTCAGGTGTTTGCGACAGTGAAATTGCTAAATGAGGACCATTTTAACCAAAGATTGGGTGATCAATAACACTCTATAGCAGTAGCTTGTCGGATCAATAGCATTCATTATTTAATGGTTAAGGTAAGTAGCCTCCTTTGCAAGTGGAGGTCATTAATCAGTGCTTACTGGACCTGCAGAAAGGCCTGCACAGGAGCCTAGCTTGTGTTCAGCCCTGCAGTGTAAAAGGGGTAGTGAAGAGGGTGAAATCCCTTCAGAAAGTTTCTTCGTGTAAAGCACTGTCAGTGATGCTTATCTGTAAGGAGCTAAAGAGCTCTCAGTGCAACAGGATGCTTATAAAGTACTGTTAATATGACCTGGATGCTTGTCAATGCTTTTTCCTTTCTCAGGCACCTTTCCTCTGAGGATGTTAAAAACCTTATGAAGCAGTCACTTGGTCCTCACATCTGCAGCTTGTGAGGACTGTTTATCCAAGCTATCAAAAGGGAAAGCAGGCACGCTAAGAGATTGGTCCAGGGTCGTACAGTCAGTTGGTAGGAGAGCTTGGGATGAAACAATTAATTCATGGTTCTCAGTCCTTGGCCTTAATTGCTGTGGTATATATGTGGGAGGATGAATGCATGGTCAGGCTTTGTAATGGATTAATTTGGAATTTGATATTAACTTGCATGCTGTAAGGTGAGGATGGTGTATAGATCGTTCATCCTTTAGTTATAAATGGCCTTTATACAATGATGAAGATGCAGAATTTTAGATATCCAGCATGATGTGTTGACTTGACTGTACTTTAGAGTGCATTTTCTAAGAACAACAATATGCTCACAAAAGAGAGTTTTATTCTGTGCCTGCAGTTCTTTGGAATGATGTATTTTGTGGTCCCTCATTATTCAGCCTTGTAAATCAGGGGTTTCCTGTGTAATCTCTAGTATGATCCAGTTTCCCTGGAAGAGAGGCATCCAGAGATACTTTCAAACAGCATTCCCTGATTGGAGACTGATTCTAGTGCTGACTTACACCTGGTGTTCACATCTAAGGTCTTAGTGCTCAGGGAGTAGGCAGTAAGTACTTTCTGCTTGTCCTAGTATCTCTCAGCTAAAGCAGAGGAAGTACTGCCTGAAGTGTCCAAGGAATGAGTTCAAGTCAGCATTCAAGCTTTCAGATGCTTGGGACTGACGTGAGCAGGTACTTCTGCTACAAATATTCGTCAACCTTTGCAAGTCAATTAATGGCTTTCTACACATTAATTTCTAGCTCTGTTCTTTTGTTCAAGAATTACATCTTCTCTAACTGCTTCAGCGAATGCAAAGCATGCTATGACAAGGTTGCATTCAGCAGCAGCAAGTCGTGCTGTGCTCAGGTATTTAGTTGGAGACTTGTAAGTGTCACAGCTGCTCTTTACTCCACATAAAAGTTTCAGGCAGGGGGGAAAGGCTATTTGTGTGACAGTGTAACATTTTTGAGGAAAAGTAATTTGAAATAGAAAACTTAGGAGGGTTTTCAGTTAAGTACCCAAGGACAGTGTTTTTAACTGCGCTTAATTTCCTGGTGAGTATTTCAGATGATGCCATAATTAGGTTATTAATTCTAGTACCTGAGGCAAATGCCATTTTATTAATTACTTCTTGATAACTTAGAACTAAACTAGATGCAGGATTCTACTCTTTTTCAAGTGATGCAGCATTGGTAAGTGTGAAGGGAAAGCAGTTACGTTCTGTTCTAGAGCCAGTCATGTAGCTGAAATTCAGTTTTTTGTGAGACATGTAAAGCATTTTGGTCTTGGAGAAGGTAGTAAAATGCAGTAGAGTGGTTTTTGTATTGTGCCTGTTGCAATTGTAACCATGCTTTTTTCTCTGTTTTTGTTCCAGTGAAACCAGCAGTGTTTGCAGCAGCAGTGATACTGGCCTGTTTACCAATGATGAAGGCCGCCAAGGTAACAGATGTCCTGTGATTTTCCTCTTGCTTTGCTAGGGAGTTCCTTGCTTTCCTTACAAATGCAAAGAAAGATCTATGTTTGAAGAGAGACAGGGAGGGAATTGTGTGAAGAAAAACCAGTTGCAGGGAGTGGTTAGAAGTTAAGCAATGAGATAAGGGCTACAAATGTATGATTTTCATAACACTACACTTTTTCTAATGAAATACTTTGTGTATCAGATCCATAACATTTGCAATATAAGAAACTGTTATTGTGGGAAGGCACAGACATACAAGAGGAATGTGAGAGCTCTTCATAATGAAAAAAACACAGCTTATGATTTGTTTCTCTAGGTGTTTTAAGGGTTGTCTGCATACCATTAGTGCCTGAAATCTGTTAGTTGTTTTCTCTATGGGCAGGAAGAGAAGATGGGAAAAAATTAGTTAATACTGACAAGTCACCTAATAGACTGTGCTAAGAAGATGATGGTAATATGTGATATTTCTTTAAATATGTGTTCCTCCCTTGGTCTTGTGGGCATTAGTTGAACATTGAACATTGTATTTTCAATGTCTGTTGTAGAAATGATATCTTAGGAGTTTTGAGTGTGAAGTGCAATCTGGTTTTATTTATCAGCCACAGCACAGTGCTCAGTTGATGGCAGAAGTAAGTATGAAACAGGTTGTAGCAGGCACATAGGCATTGAGGACTATTATATTTGGAGCACGTGGAATGTGACCCTAGAGACCTGCAATTCTGTGCACTCTGATTCTGTCACATTTCACGAGCTAAGATTTGGATGAGATCTCTTCTGGGAATACGAGTGCTAAAGGAAGTAGCCCCAGTAGCTCAATAGGATATGCTGCTTCCACTAGCTTGTTAATGGCCCAGGTACCTGTGTGAAGCAGCACAATGATAGCAAACACGCTTTTGTGTTTTCTGGTGGTGTTTTAGGCTGTAGGACCAATCTGTGATCTTAGTGGAGTATAATACTTTGCTTAAGAGCAGGAATTTCAAACATCAGCTTTGACCTTTGCTGAAAAATAACTATTTCCAGACTCTGGTTCTTCAAAGGCAACAGAAAAGTAGAATGTTTTGCCTTCTCTTTTTACTGATGATTATTCAGGGGGAGCTGAAATTATTGAGCTTGTGAAATTAGTGAACTTTTATATTAGATGACAAAGCAGAGTGGTGACTGAAGTGTTTTACTTCATCACCTGAGACAAGATTGATGGAGACTGGGTAGAGGTAGTGTATATGTCTATATGCTTGCCCTATAAACTTGCCCTGATTTTATACCCTGTTTTAGACATCAATTTTTGGCTGCTGCTAGAAGTAGGATGCTCAATATACAGAAATATGTAGAAATATGACTTAGATAAATTAATAACGTCCAATTACAGCCTTCCCTGTCCAGGTAAGAGTAGAGGTTTGGCATCCTTGTCATCAGGTCTCTCTCTGTTGAAACAGTTGATACTGTGATAGCTTTCTGGCCAAGATGTTTTAGCTTACAGTTATGTTAAAAGGGTTAAAAATATTGTTGCACTTTCAGACTAAATAAAAAATACCTAATTTTCCTTTTTTTTCCTTGACAATTCTTAGTCATCAAATAAATAAAAAAACAACAGCTTTCCATGTCAGTGAGATGGTGAGAGCACAATTTTTTTTTTGTCACAGGTCATCAGCTTATAAATAGTTTTCCAGCAAAATTACAGGCTGAATAATGGGAAACATAATCTGGCAGCATTCTTAAATAAATGCAGGGGTTTTCCTTCCTTCTTTTGAGGTTGCATCATGCAAAATTTATGCTGTTGCTAATTAAATAAATCATCTTTGCAGCTGCACATACCAGCATGCTTCTGTGAGCAGAAAATGATACTAAAGTTCACAATTTGATTGTAGACGTGGGTTTTTTTGGTTTTATATTTGTTACATGCATGGGGATTTTTCACAGTGAAAATTACTGAATATTAACATATGATGCTGATGGTTAAAGTTTGTCTTGTGGCAACAGACAAACTTTGAGGTAGACAGGGCACTATGCTCAAATTTCTGGGAGTAGTTTTGCACAAATTAAGATCTCTTAGAAGAACTATTCTACGTTACTTAGTTTTAATTTGCTATGAAGTGGAGATGGGATTTTTATACTTTAAGATAAAACTCGTACGTCAACTTGATGCATGACATAAAAAACAATGTCAGAGCTTTGGGATAAAGTGTTCTGGCTGTCCTCCCTATTGCTGGTCAGAGTTGGTTTTGTGTGTTGCTTCTTCTGTTATGTGCAGGATTGCAGCATTCTTACTAGGATGAGGTTTTTTACTTTTTTGTGCAAGATGTGTGAGTAGACATAATGGGCTTTGGTCAGGAACAATGTAAGTCAGTGAGGAAAGGAGAGTAAGTGGGGATGCTTGAGTTGAGACTTAATGGTAGGCAAATGGGAATTTTCCCTAAGGTAGGTGTGTTAGTTTTTTAAGCTCCAAGATGAAGTGCCTTGCAATTACATGGGACTGTTTGTGAGTTGGGCTACTGAAATGCTACATGTGTCAGGTTCTTTGCTCTCCTGCTTTTTTTTCAAACGCTGCTCATGTGCTACTGCTCTTAGGGAATTTCTGGCCAGACATATTTACTATGAACAGTGTCTGATGCAGTTCAGTTTTAGACTGCAGCTGCATTAAATACAGCGACCCAGCTCTGTGGAGACTTTGGTCATGACTTCTGTTGTTGCCGCCTTAGTTTTCCAAAGGGTTTGTAGTCCTTAGAGATTACAAGAAGTTGATTGAGAGCAACTCACAGCATGGTTAGTACTTACACTCAGAGTGACCATTTCTGATAATTATGTGTTTTTGTCTTAGCTGCTGTCTTAGGAGGCTAAGGGTCCTTCTCATCAGTATGTTTCTTTTGCTTACTCTGTGAGCCTGGTCTTCCCCTCTTGTGAAGTTTCTTCTGTGACAGCCTATAACATGTGCCAAATGACTGGCCTCTACTGGTGTCACAGTAATTACTTCAGAGAAAGAGTTCTGCATAAGACATCACACAACATTGAACTAGGGTTGATGAGATGCAGTAGCAACAGAGTGCTAAACCTGCCCTAGGCATGTCTATAAAGGGGCTTTGTTCTATAGGGAAATTCTGGAGACTGATGAGTTGGATAGTTTAAAGCGTTTAGTGAGGCCCCATAGTTACTGAGGATCATTGAAACTGAATACAAATATAAGGCGCTCCAAGAATGAATTCCTAATGAGACTTCAACTGTTTCACATTCAGATATGCCTACTTTTAGTATTTTGAGGAAATGTCCCAGGGTACCTTGATGTTATTTGTGGCTAATTCCATCCTATTTCTTTAGGAGATGATGAGCAAAGTGATTGGTTTTATGAAGGGGAGTGTGTTCCAGGATTCACTGTCCCCAACCTTCTTCCCAAGTGGGGAGCTGATCACCGATCTGAAGTGGAGAGGATTGACTCAGGCCTGGACAAGCTCTCTGTTTCCACCTTCCTTTTGCCCTCACAGCCAGCTCAGAGAGGTGAGTCCATAAGGAATTGTGTTTGAGAACTTGTGATAGGATGGCAAGAGTAGATTCTTTTCATAGGTGTTGCATTTAAACTGGTATTGGTGATTGGTTTTTTTGTTTGTTTTTTTTTTTTTTTTTTTTTTTTTTTATGGTATTGGTGATTGGTTTTGTTTTGGTTTTTTTTTTTTTTTTTTTAAAGATCCAGTTAAGAAAAAGCTGCATTATTGGCGAGTTTACTGAAATAGTCATACCAGCTGCCCATGGGCAGTCTTTCTTTTTTTAAATGTAAGGGTTTTATTTGATTTGTGAATGAACTGGCATATCTACATCTTTGAGACTGAAAAACAAGAGACAGAGGATCTGATTTGATTACTGAACTAAGGCATTTTCCCTGGTGGCTTTTTCAGGAGGTATCTTCTGTGTTCATTGCTCAGTTTTTCTGCCTTTGGTTTTCAGGATTTCATGCTCGCCTGAATCGCCTTCCAGGAGCTGCCGCCCGTTGTCTCCGTAAAGGTCGAAGGAGGCTGGTTGGCAAGGTATGCCCTTTTGAAAGATGGTAATTTTGTATTTCAAATTCTGGTCATTCCTGAAGTACTGTTATAAGATACCACGCAATTGTTTTCTGCAGAAAGTTGTCCTGTATATTTTTTGTTTCATGTGTTGTTTGATTTGTTTAACTGCTTTGAAGTACTATTATAAGATACCACGAAATTGTTTTCTGCAGAAAGTTGTCCTGTATATTTTTTGTTTCATGTGTTGTTTGATTTGTTTAACTGCTTTGACTGTCAGATGATGATTGAGCGACTAAGTGGATTTTAAGGCACATTTGGAGTGGCAAAGACAGCTGATCAGCGCTGAAAGCTGTATGAAAGGAGGACTGAAGAAGAATGTCAGGGAGCATAAATATCAAGAAGATTTAGACAGAATGTAAGGGAAAATGATGATGGCATGAGACTTGTGCATGCTCATCTGAGACTACAAGGGCAGAGATGTGCCTCAAAGGTGAAGGAAGGCCAAATTTTATATAGGGAAGAAGACTGATATGAATGGCAGCAAAGGAAGGTGGTTTTAGCAGTTGCATTTTTAGTGGGAAGACGGGAGAGTAAAAAGGTATATGCAGTACATGGAGGCAAATCTGCCCAAAGCTCTTGACTTATTATGTAGTTTTATTATATATAGGGAAAACACCAAACAACATATCAGTCCTTTCTCTAATAGAACAAACAATACTTTGCAGATGTCTGTCTACTTTGCAGATGTCTGTCTAAAAGAGAGTGGTACACCTGGCTGGGTCTGCATCATGCAGTATTGAGCACTGCTGTTTGTTGTAAGAGGTGGTTCTGAGAAGGAAGGTGTTGGCTGTGTTTGGCTTTTCTTTTTATTGTGATGTGCTCTGTACTTTTGAAAACATTAGCATAAGTTCTGAGCTGGCTGGCTGTAGTCTGCTAACAAGCCGTGTTAGGGGGGCCGGAGTCTAGAGGAGTGCAACAGCTGCCTTCTGTTCAGTCATACTTGAAAGATCCTTGTCTGCCCCTTCTTTCTTCCACTCACCTTGCTTAATTGTAGCCGGCATTCAAAATATGAATCCTCAGCTGGCAAGAAACTGACTTTACCTAGGGTTCCTGAGGCCACCTGCAAGTGACTGGGCCTGGCGGCACACCTCTAATGATCCAAATGAGAAGGATAATATTTACTTGTTTAATTCATCTTCATCACCTTAAAGGGATCTTTGTCATTTGCAGTGGAGGTCACTGCTCCCCCTTCCCCATCTCTCTCGAAATTGTAATCATAAATAATGAGTTTCATTCAGAGCTCCCCGCCAGCGAGCTGCTAATTACCAAAAGTACGGCTTGTAATTTACACAGTAATAAACTGTAAATTTAAACATTATGGCACTTTAAGTTAATAATTTTCCTGCTGTAACAAATAGCCCATCTTTCTTTCACCCCTGCTGCTACAGCTGCCCCCAAACGTTAGTGTGTTTTGCCTATATACCTGGCATAAACGAACCTTACCCGTGGAAGACTTTTGCCCTCATCTTGAGCCCCTTGCTGAAAAGTCTGCTTCTTTCTTGGAGGCAGTTGCTATGCAGATGTGAACAGCTGGTGCTTCAGGCTGTGTGTGTACGTGTATGCCAGCATTGAGCACATACTCAGGGCAGCATCTTGCAGGAAGCAATATGCTCCCAGAGCAAGCCCTTTCTCCCAGGATCTGCCTTTTCTTTAGTTGCTAGAGGTCCTGCTGCTGAATTGCTGCTTTTAGAAAGGGCAAAAGCATCATGCTTTCACTCCTTAATTTATTCACTGGTGGTTGATGAGTCTCCACTGTTAATGGAACAGTGTAGTGTCCTGTCTCAGCCTGTTTCTAGCCCAACTGACCCCAGTAACATGGAATGAAGCACTTCCCAGCCATTTCTCCTGCCCTCATGCATCCTTGTGCTGCATACTTTGTTCTAGTCCAGTTTGTGGTGTGCCCCTCTGCAAGCAATATCATCACTAAAAATAAAAAGCAAGCCTCATAAATAAAATTGAATTATTTTCTGCCATTCTAATTAGTTAAATCATCTCAGGTGAAGTTCTAAAAGGAAGGAGTGAACATGTTTAGCTGAGAGGAGGCTGGTAAGGAAAGGATGTGACCTAGGGGAGTAAGATTTGTTCTTACTGGCAGCAGCAAGCTATTCTCTGCTCACTGTGTGAGAGTTTGCAACCTTTTGCCTGTCTTTGTGTTTCAGGAGACCTCCATGAGCACTCTGGGCACCGAGCGGCTGGGTCATATTGTTAATGATCCGCGCCAGAAAGAGTAAGGCCCTTAACGGTTGGTGTATGCAACTTTGGGAAGGGAAGAAGAGCTCTTCCCTTCTGGGGGTGAAGAACATGAAGAACTGGGTGGGCAGTTAAGCATAACCTGTGGAATGGGAGACAGTATTCTACTGATGGCTTCTCTGTTTTCTTACCCTTAATGGCTGACTTCCCCTTTGTTTTTTTTATATATATATATATGTATGTTTGTGTAAGGCTGCCCCAGTGTGTGGACGCTACTCAAATGCTCTCTTGTGCAGTCCATTTTTTTTTTCATCCTCCCTTATAATGTGCCGTTGCAGTAACTACAGATCTTTTGGACATTAAGAGAAGACTGAGCCCCATATGTTCGTTTATTAAAATGCTTCTTTGTGGAGCTGTACTATGGAAGCATACCCAGACTGCAGAAATGATGCTGACAAGGCAGCTGTGAAATTACTTTTTCTTTTTTTGGTGTTATATCTCCTTCCACAATTAGTGCATTTATATTGTAGTCAGCACTAGAAATAGTCTTGGTGCTTATCCTTTGGCATCTCCCTAATGCTGTTCTGGGGAATGGGTAGATGAGGATGGCATGCATGTCTTGACTTTAGTGCAGTGGGTCCAGCCTTCACCAGCTGTTGATACCTAATTTTCTTCCTTGATCTGAAATTTGTTGTTTTTAATATGACTCCTGATGATGTTTAATCTTTTTCCTTCTCCCTCCATCTTTGTTCTTCCCTTCCCGTTGTTTTCTTATCCCCAACCCTGCTTTTTTCCCCCCTATGTTTGTTCCTTGGCATTGTGCCCACCTGTCCTTTCGACTCTGCCTCCTTCCAGTTTTTGGTTACCATCCATGGGGAAGAGAGATCGCAACCAGGTAAGAAGACTCTGCTTTTCTTTTTTTTATTTTCTTGGTTTCCTTCTCTCTAGAAAGAACACAGTGCTGGCTTCTGATTTCCCACACACTGTGGCCTGTGCACTTGAGGTAAGGCAGTCCCGTCCCTTCTCATTTTGTTGACTGGTGTCTTCTGGACTTTGAACACAACCCCTTTCCTGGGCATTGTATTGTCTATTTAAATTGGATAGCTCAGGAACTCCTTTTATTTATCTCCCTGTTTCAGGTTAGTGTTTGCCATCCCTTCTGAGTAGGAGGGAAAATGCCTCTTGACAGGAGGAGCTTTAGCCTCTCAAAATTACAGAAGAATTGGACATTTTTCTCTTTTTACATTTTTTTCTGCTTTGTTTTGCCTTGTTTGGCTCAGGCTTCTACCTGATAGTCTCATCCACAGAGAAGGGAAAAAATGGTGAGCTTAAATTATGTAGTTAAATAGCTGTAACAGGAAAATGTAAGAGGTGATAAGCAAGAGAAATAGGCATTCTTGTAACTGAAACTCTTGTGTGTGCACTTTTATATTCTCCACTAAGTCTTTCTTAGCTTCAGTGCTAAGAGGTTTTTTTTTTTTACTTTAAGATATAAAAGCTCAGGTTCTTGATAGCAAAGAGCAAAAAAACCACTCTTCCGTTTGAGCAGTCGTGTTGTAGCAGTGCTCCTGGCCATGCACACTCCTTTCTATTCCTATATGAGTTGTTTTATGGTTGGTGAACAGTAGGACTGATTTTTTTTTTTTTACCTTTCAGGTGGCTAAAAATGCATATATGGCAAGAAATAATTTTCAAGCCTTTGTGCAATTGTGTATTTTCCATTAGTGAGAACATTTTACAGATTGCTTTTATATTGCTATAATAATACTCTTATCTAAAGATAAGAGTAACTACATAAGCTTTAAAATGACCAAAAGTAAGTAACTTTTGTTTTTCTCAAATGAACTTGAGTCAGCCATTCCAGTAACAGAGAGTTCCTTGTGATTTTCCCTGCTGTGCAGTTGCAGTGTTACTGACAGTAAACAAGCAGTCCCACTCAAGGAGGTGCTCCCTGATAGCAGCAGCTTTGTGGTGCATCTTGTTTCTCAGAAAGGTGGAGGGTAAAGGTACTAGTACTGAGTTTTGAAGTTGCAGACAGCTTGTATGAGGAGTCCAGCTACAGGTGTGGATTGTTTCTTTGTCCTTATTTAAAAATGCATCAGTAATCCTAGTAATACAAGAAAAGTGTTCTGGAGATTGCTGTAGCACTTTGCAAAGCAGATGGAAATTCATTTCGTGCTTGAGGTGTGAATTATAAATAAAGAAGAAATGCCGAATGGAAGTATAAAGCAGGTACCCCAGAGAAACTACCAGTCTAAAGCTTCTATTTACATATTGAGCAAAATTTGTTCCATGCATTGATTGATCAGTTTATTCCATTTCTGTCCTGACCATTAAAAATCCTGGCCATTGTATTTTGTACAACAAGCTGTCTTGCACAGGTTTGATGCCCTCAAGATTTGTCTAGTGTATGTCTAACAGAGTATCTTAGAGTAGCCTGACCATGCATTGTTTCAAAAATTTGTTTTAAGCAGTTTGCAGAGACAGCTTGTGAGGTTGGAGAGGAGTGAAGGAGCAACTAACTTGCCGTGGAATGAATTGAGTGCTCATTGTGAACTTAACCTGGTGGGTCTGAGTCTTCTAGAGGTCTGTTTCAGTGATGTACACAGCCCTTGGGAATACAGGAGCTGCTCTGTGCTTGCACAATTCATAACAGTGACTTTTTTCTCTGCAATGTGAAGGTAGACAAGAGGCTTTCTGAAAGAGAGGTAGATTTTTTTTCTCACAGCATGCAGCAATAGAGCACTTATGCTCTTAATCAACCAGCATTTTTAATAATGCAAGGTGGAAGAGGAGTGTGCTGAGGCTGTCTGTTGTGAGAAGGTGGTTATCAGATTTGCTGTTTCACCCTTTGTGCTAGCCTTTGGTCTGTTCTCATCTGGTCTTACCCCTTGAGGTGCCAGAAAGGTCTCCTTCTACTATGTGGACAGCTGAAAGTCTCCTTATACTGTGTGAACAGAACAGAAATGAGGAGCTTTATCTGGACACTATTTCTTTTAATGCTTTGCTTAAATAAAATCTCTTGACTTTCCAGTTCAATCCATTATCTCCTCTGTACTCTCTGGATGTGCTTGCTGATGCTTCCCACCGAAGATGCTCACCAGCACACTGCACTGCCAGGTAACTCCCTTGCTCTGCTTCCTTGGGGTTGTCTCTCTTCCCTCTCCTGGATGTCTTCAGTAGTACTGTGTGATCTGAACAGCAATGGACCTGTAACTTAATGTACTTTTCCCTGGGAAGTCCATGCCCAAACTTAGCACAAAATATAGCAATGCAGTTTATTTGAGAATTTCAATGAACTAAGTGCTTACAGTATATCAAACAGTGTATGACAGACAGGCAGAACACACTGTTCCTTTAGAAATAACTGCAATGTGTTTTGCAATGTGCAATGAGTTGCTGTAAGTCTGTTTTATAGATACAAATGGACATAGTATCATTGCCCACTATTAAAATTGGAACAAGATGAGAGGGAAAATGCTGACAAACTGGTGTAGGTGACATGCTGAAGCATTTTGCTATCCTAGGTGTCTAAAATAGACCCTCTGAGCAGATCAAGAACTCACCTGAGGTGACCTCTAGTAGTTTGATACCTCTCTGTAGCAACAGCTGAAATTTAGATCTGGTTTGGCTGGATGTTAGGTATATTTGAGTCTCCATAGTTTGGGTTAATATACTATTCAGGCACCTTCTGCTGACTAATCCTAAATTAAATTCAAGTGTTGGCCTTAGAGGTGACTCCTGTTTTTGTGCTGCAGGTGACTGTCTAAAGGTAAGGTGCCCTTGAGCTCTTTTTCTGTGCAAGTAGGCAAGGCCTTGCTTTTGACACAGTTCTGCTTATGTGCTTGTACCAGGGGCCCAATCTGAAAGAAATGTCTGGACTTTCAGCTTCATGGCTTTCTTTCCCTTGTTAATTAGCAAATAGAGCATGAAAAATGTACTAAGGTTGTATGTGTCTGAAGAGAAGCTTGGCACCCACCCAGCAAAGCCTCTCTTCCCACTGGCTTCTGCAGGGAATTTTGCGATGTCGCACCATGACCTCATGCTGCTGTAGCCAGCATGTTAAAGCTGGAAAAGGGGAGGGAGGAAGAAACCAGCTCTTAAATGTTCAACTGGATGAGAATAAAAGGAATTCAGAAGATTGTGCATCAGCAAATTGATTCTTTTCTGTGCTTTTGCCCCACTCTGGGGATGTTTTCTCTCTGTGAAGCAAGAAGATTGAAAGGTCTCTTCATTTTCGGCTAGGATAGCCTTTCTTTTGCCTCCAGTGTCTTACTTGGTGCTTTATAGAAGTTTGTCTTCCAGAAAGGTGAGCTGGACAAATACTGCTTGCAAATTCAAACTGGGCAAAATTTCTACCTTTATGATGGTCAGTGAAGGCCCTTTGCAAAGCCAAGTTCTTTGCAATGGATTTCTAAACCTGGAGGGATTGTGTTTGCTAGGTTTTTGTGGGTGTATTGTCTAGTTAACCAGTTAATATATATGCTTGGTTCCTTCCTTTAATGAACAGGTGGCTGGTGTTCTGACAGACATAATCACTCATGAATTGTTACTGAGTTGACAGAGAAATTGTACCATCCCAGATGCAATCGTGTTTTTAAATGCCTGGAATTTGAGAAAATAGTTCCTATTTTAGTGTGAAATGTGCTCAAGAACCTTTATAAGAGAAAGAAATATGAAAAGAATGAATGTGGCTCCATGTATGTGGCAAGCATTGAACTCTTTGGTACAAGGAGTTTCCTTCATGTAAAGATGCTGCTAAGGGCACAGAAGGAGATTGTTCCTTCAGAGAAACATCCTCTTGATAGTAGTTCTTAGCTTTACATGCCAAGCACACTTGTTAGTAGTCCATTTTCTTACAGGAGGTTCAGCTGATCTCTGTAAGCTCTGACAAGCTATTGCCCCAGTTAACATCTCCTGCTTTTGCCATGTATGGAATCAATTTCAGTAGTTTGTGCTTCAGGAAGCTTCTAACAGCTTGCACCTCATCCTGCAGAAGTTCTGCTCTGAACTTAACCAGAATGGGATGTTTGTGTGTAGGAAGCAAATCCTCTCAAATAATATGAAACATATTAGAAAAGACATGGTCTTGATGTTGTGACCATCCAGTTTCTTCAACCTGATGCTTGTTGTGCTGTGCAAAATCTCCTTTCTCTGCTTTGTTTCTGCTATCACAGAGTGTGTCCAGTGGAGTATAATTACCAAATGGAGTCTTTCTCTGCTATGGAACTGTTTTCTTTGTCTCACTGGTGGATTTTAGTGCAGTTTACCTGGAAGACTGGTAACCCAGTACTTTTGCTTAAGCAGAGCTGAAGGCCAGAATACTGAATGCAGCTGAGGATTGAGAAAGAACCTCCTCCTTGACACTGACAAGCCTATGTAGAAGGTTCCTTGGGAAGCCTTATTTGAAAGGCAGTATAAATCCTACACTACCTTTCTTGATTTATGTCTGTGATGAGAAGAGCTTTCATTCAAAGTGTATGCACAGCACTGGGAATTTCACACCCATCATTAGAAGCAGTTTTGTGTGTGTGGTGACTGTTATCATTAGTGGTATAATTTTATTTTGTGAAGCAAGGAGAGTTTTCTGCTTTCTTGCAGTCTTCCCTAGGGATGGCTGGTGTATTAATTTGCTGTATTGCCTCCTGGCTGTTCCCAGACTGTTTTTCCTCTTCATCATGGAATTTTTAATGGCCCTGCTGCCTCTCGGGAGGCATGCAAGGAAGAGTACCTCAGGGATCTCTTCTTTTTTCACATGCCTATAATTACTCTCCTTTAAGAGCACAAAACGTTTGCTAATCATGTCTTGTCTGTTAAGGTTTTGACTTCATGATGCAGACTGCTGAAAGCAAGCAAGTAGAGACTTACACAGGCAACTCAAGGGATCCTTCCTCTTTCCCTTGGCCTGTTTGCCTCTCTGGGAGGAGCAGTCTGAACAGAATTTTGTTGTGGAGCTTCTTCTACTTAAGAGGATTTTGTATAGGCTGAAGTTGAATATTTTATTAGATGTTGGTTATTCAATATTCTGTAGCTGAGAAGATGTTGTAGGTTGTTGATTGATGGAATGCTATTCCCTTGAGGCAGGCATAAGAGTTTCAGAAGAGCCTAGAACCAGTGTTCCCTTTGATTTGAATAGCAGGCAGAATAAGAGAGGAAGGTAGAAGATAAATTGTCCCTAATGTCGTTTATTATTTGCCTAGCCTTGAAAACAGGATTATGAGTGAAAAAAAGCAATTAAATGTTCCCACTGGAGGTCATAGGAAAAGTGGACCTTGGATGGCAAACAGATGTTGAAGGTGGAGACTTGAAGGATTGTTTTAGACTTTTGAACAACACAGATAAAGAAAATTGCTTTGCATGTACTCTGTTAATACTAACTGTGAATCTAAAGTTTAATCTGATTTAGAAGCAAGTCTGTCACCTTGCCTGGAACATGGCATAAAGATGTAGAGGCATGAGTGATCTCCTCATTTACTGCCAGTTGCCTCATGCTCTGGGTTTGGTGGTGCTGTTAAATTGAACACACTTGAATGTCTCAAATTTCAGTTGCGGCTCTAGAAGTGTGAAAATAAATATTGTTCTGTCACATCTGCATCTGTACACAGAGATCTTGATATTTCTGCCTCTTACCCAAGCATGTGGAAGTACAGGGATTGCCTGCAAGGTCAGGCCTTTTCTGAGGCAGCTGAAGGAGTGAACAGATGTCCACAATTTCATACTTTCCTGCTTGAGCAGGACAGTATCCAGTTCATTGTAGGCAACCTTTCTCTCTATTTTTTTACTCTTTTTCCATTTACCTAGAGGATTTTCATGTCTTCCTTTGCTAAAGCCTGGCTAACATTCCAGTTGGGAATATAACTGAATTCTTCTGACAGGCATGCAATGAACAGCAGCTATCAACCTAGTGTCACATGCAGTTGACTGGGGCCTAATATTCCCATTTTGATGAATCCTAATTCTCTGGTGTGAAAAATAAATTCCCCTTGGCTTCAGAATTTTTTCTTTTTTACTTGCTATTTCAAATCTGCGTACTCAGCAGATCTGGCAAACAGTAGGAGTCTTTCTGGCACAGTTACAGTGTGATTCAGTGTGAAAATAGGGGATATAATATATGGGATCACATCGCTGTTTAGAGTGCTCACATGGAAAACAAGAAGAAAATGCATTCACTTGCATTTGCCACATGCAGACTTTTAGGAATGAAATTGCCACATCATTATAATGCTTACTTGGGGAAGAGACTGCTGCTGTTTAAGATCTATGAGATTTGGATGATTGAAGAAGTGAGCTGACCTATTAGAGATTTTGGAATCTGAAAATGTGCTCTAGAAACCTTCCCAAGAGGCTCTGCAGGGCATAGGAGACTGCTGTGCATTGGGAATATCTACACTGGGATGTGATAGCAAGAACCACTTGTGCGTGTGGGAGCTTTGCATGCAGATAGGATGAGCAGCTTGTATTGATTTACGCATGTTATGTGCAGATTAGACTGGTGCCCAGCTGGCTCTGTAGTCAAAGAAGAGGAAGAATTCTGCTTTTACTATTAATTTTGTGAAGCCACCATCAACAGCCTCAGGTAACACCTCAGGGCTTAGAGAAAGAGCCTTTCATTTGGCTTGTGTTTGCTCTGAATAAAGCATCACAACAGCAGCAGCTGGGTTGTGTGGAGTTTTAGTAGCAGTATCTTTGTTAAAAGGCAGTCTCTATTAACATTCACTTTAACATGAGGATAATAACATCCCTTGTTTTTATAGCAGTAGACTAATGACTGCCTCTCACTGTATAATCCATGTGCTTTGCTTCTTCTGAGGATAGGGTTAGAATAAAGAGTGTAAGCAGACAAGCTGGATGATGTGAGATGACAGTGAGAGGCATACACCCACAAGTGTGCAGTGTGCCTCTTGCCTCCAAGAAGGCCACACGTTGTCACATTTAGCTCTGTATGGCCTTTTCAGAGACCTTTGTTGCAAGATTGGGCTGGCTTTTACCCTGAATTTTAAGAGTGGACTTTATGCTACAATTTAGACTTCACAGACAGTGAAATTTTCAGGGTCCTGATGCTGTTCAGTAAGATTCTTTGTGGACTAGTGTCTGCTTGTGCTCAGTATTGTCTCCCACAGATTATATTGCCAGTCCTAATTTTCTGTTGAAATACTGTGGTAGATGTAAAATAGTGGCAAGCTCCAGTGCACGGTCATCTCAAACTGTAGCAGTGAGATGGGAGTCCTGTGTATGCAAGCACTGATCATTAAAAATCATGTAAATAAAATCATAGAATAAATATGTGGAAAAGAAATGAAAGGAAGCATTACTTCTGACACATTAGAGACTACCATGAATTTAATCTTTCTGCATAACAAAACCTCGTTTTTCTCCAGCATTGCCTGCATGCAGAACTGGGTACCATAAGTACTATGTTAAAAACAAAAGACAAAAAGTATTTCCTGAATAATTCCATTAGTTTGTCATTACAAAACATATTATTACTGTCAAAAAGACACTACAGACTTTTCATATTGTTGAAAGCCATTTTTCCTATATATGTGTAATTTTTCATTCACTAACTCCTGGCAGTGACTGCTGTGTGAGTTGAATATATTGCAGCCAACAAAACAGCCACATTTTTGATGCTGATTTGTTTTTGTAAATGTGTTCTCCTTTTTTTCTTCCAGGGTTAGAATTTCTGTTATTTCTAGATTGTAAACTACGTTTTCATGTTAGTCTCTGGTCACCTGGCAGATCCATCTGTGACTAAGCACTGCAACTTTGTTTTTTTCTTATGATAAACCTGTCATAGTCCAAAAGAAACCAGGAAATTATTTTCTCATTACTGTTTATGCAAAATTGAAGAAAGCATGGAGGCTTAGCAGAAGAGATTGAAGTCTAGTAAGGACAGTGTATGTCCTATTCTACTTTGTAAGTTTAGGCCCAGATCTTTCATCTCACAAAGTTCTGGTCTCAAACTTCTTCACAGAAGGCTGTGACAAATAATGCATTTTCTGTCAGCCTTTCCTGTTCTAGTCTACTTTAGAGTAATTTCTAACTGTTCAGAAGAGTTGTTAAAATTCAGCTTTGGAAGGAGAACTGATTCATCATTGCATCTTGGGATATTTTCACATTTTATAGTTTAGCCTAGTCACTGCTGTGTTGGATGCTGTGCATATCCTTGACTTGACTTTCCTAGTGGTGGTGTTTGTAGGAGTCTATAGGAGTCTGCTGTTAAACTGGGATTCACGAATTCTGTTATCTCGCTGATATAGACCTTCATGCAAGCTAGTGATTAGAAATGTACATTGAAAAGTGTGCCATCTACCAAAAACCTCCATATTTCATAAGTTATACCTCAGACATCCTTTCTGTCCAGGCCTTAATGAAGACTATCATTCCTGAATGTAGTCTTGTGCTCTTCTCTCTCCCAAGGTACGTACCACCTGCAGATTCCGTGCAGATTTATGGTGCCTGTAAAGTGCACCATCCACTTGAAATGACACTTTTACCACTGGGTCAGTCAGAGCCAGTGACTAATCAATAGGTTCCTGATTTACTAACTGAAGTGTGGGTGATCAATAAGGGATAAACCTGAAATAAAAACATAAACATGTTACAGAGACAATTTATGACCTCTGAGCCTTTGTATCTTAGAGGTGGGGCTACTACATACAGCATTCTTGCTAGTAATCTTCAACTGAAGTATGATTTGCCTTTACTTGCGCTACAAGAAGGGATTTTGAGATTCTTCTGTTTTCATTTTTCTTTTTTTTACCCCTTGTGTAATCATCAGGTAAGGGTAGATGTTCAAGTATGTACCTGAGAGCCAGGAGCTTTTATGCAAAATCTAGCTGTAACATTTGTGAGCTGGGAAAAATTGCATAAGGTCTCTTTGAAATGATAGTACATACTTCTTTCCTAGTCCATAGTGCTTCTCCACCTAGGATCAACTGACTAATGTTGGTGTAAGTTCATAAAATTAAAAAGGGAGCATTTAAAAATTTTGTTGCTACATTATTTAAAATTAATTGGATTATTATATACAATTATATAATAGTCTTGCAGTTAGTAATCTAATACTTGGCACTGATGCAAAATAAAAAACTGAATCTTTTCTTCAGTCTACATGTGTTTAGATGTTTGCAAATACATGGTTAAAGCTATGTTAAAACACTGTATAGCCACTGTAATAGTCATGCACAAAAGCAGTTTTTAGCATTTATAAAGTTACTTAGAGGTGAGTCACTTTGGTGTACAACCATGAGATTTGAATGTGCATTCTGTAGATGTGCCACTATGTTTGAAAGCTTTTTCCCTCCAGGGATGGTTTCTCTAACCACCTCCCTGGGCAGCTCATTCCAATGTTTGACAACTCTTTCCTTGAAGAAAGTCCTCCTGATATCCATCCTGAACCACCCCTGGTACAGCATGAGGCTATGTCTTCTCATTCTTCTGCCAGTTGACTGGGAGATGAGACTGACCCCCACCTGGCTACACCCTCCTTTTAGGTAGTTAGAGCAGTGTGATCTTCCCTGAGCTTTCCTTCTCCCAGGCTAAACAACCCCCGCTTCCTCAGCTGCTCCTCTCAGGGCTTGTGCTCTGGACCCTTCCCCAGCTCCACTGCCCTTCTCTGAATATGCTCCAGCACCTCAATGTCCTTTGTAGTGAGGGGCCCAGAACTGAGCACAGGACTTGAGGTGCGGCCTCACCAAGTGCAGGGGAGTGATCCCTTCCCAGGTCCAACTGGCCACAATATTCATGATCCAGGCCATGATGCCACTGGCCTTGCCCACCTTGGCACACACTGGCTCACGTTCAGCTGCTGTTGATCAGCCCCCCCAGGCCCTTTTCCTCTGGGCCATTTTCCAGCCACCCTTCCCCCAGCCTGCAGTGATGAATGGGGTTGTTGCGGCCAAAGTGAAGGACCCAGCACTTGGTCTTGGTGAGTTTACTGAGAGTACACTCGATCCCCTCAGGAGACTTCTTTGTCTGGTTGTATTAATATGTGATTCCACTTTTGAAAAACTGGCTGTCTCTGAAACGTAGCACTATTTAAAAATTTTTGAAGCTGTTCTTCAATGTCAGATTTAGAGGACAGATCTTACAGGCTTCTTGTAGAACTTTTGAATTTTAGTTGAAAAGATGGAACAGTAGGTATTTCCTTTTTTTTTTTTTTGTGGTTGCACTTTTTTTTTCCAGGTAAATAGATAGACCCAGCAGCATTCAAACAATTTATAGACTGGACTAGTATAGGAATTTCTTTGTGGTCCCTTCACTGTTCTGTATAGAGCACAATTTGTTTTTTGCATAAATACAGCATCTAAAATGATACATATTGTAAATATGTGGGTTTGGTTTTTTAAATAGATTTTTGTAATGAAAATAAAAACCCATGAAGCTTTCCCTTTTTTGTATTTCAAAGGCTTTAGTATGTGATAAAAGTGTTCGTTAAACTTTCAGGACTTTTTTAAAGTCAAAGTAACAAACTTTGAAGACACTGAAGCTTTTCAGCACTTAATCACCAAAACTTGTAGGGTTACAAATTTTACATCATGCAAGCTCACAGTCTTTAACTGATTTTATTTGCACTGTTGTTCTGTATTTTGCACATCAGGTCTCATGATAAGAGTGACCAAGGAACTTGCCAAGGGAAGTCTGTTATATTGGACAAAGAAGGGATTTGAACCCAATGTCCTTGATAAAACTATGTGTTCACATTCACTATGGTATTGAGGAAGTTCTCTGGTCTGCTGCAAAGACTGTTATTTCTGAATTAAACTTCTCTGCTTCCTACAGGTACATGACTTGGAGGAGCTCTAGCTCAAGTCAGTTCCAACAATACAGATTTCTTCTTAATTGGCAAATGATTAAGCTGAAACGGCCATCAGTAGGCTTCAGACTTAACAGTTGATATTAACAGAACAGATTAAGCCTTTCAGCCAGTTTAGAGCTGCAACAAGGCTGTCATAAGTCAGATTCATCTGTTTGCACAGCACTTTAATAAGGAAATAGTGATTTTAAAAACACATGAGGCAGTTTTGCATTCCTAAATTTACGATCTTACTACTGTAATGGAAACAGCGTGCATGGACATTTGGCATTATAGGTACATTTTAAGATGATTCTACAGTACCAAATAGATTGCAAAATAATTTCTGAGTAAGGAGCAAATATCACACAGTTTACATAAAGAGCAATTTTGCAGACATTTGTTATTCTTCCATAGAAGTAATGGTAGGACATGTCATATCACTGCTTGATTACATCTTTATGTATGCAAGGAGTTAGTTTGGAATTAATACAAAACCAGAACGTTAAAGGCTTTAAAACTAAGAAATAATTATTCTTCTGAGCAGTTCATGTGTGAGCTCTTAAAGGAAATAGGACCATAATTTATATTGACAAAGAATGTGATCAAAACTCCCTGAGAAACTTTTGGGTTGTGCTACTTACTAAGTAAGTAAGTTAGTAAGTGAAGAAGCTGATGGGAAGTTAGGAGCTGGAGGTGACTGGTCATTCTTACAGAAATGTGATACTGGAACTGAGTTTAATTTGTTTTATTTTCTCCATAGGCAAGCAAGTGTCCACCTGGGACCACCATGTTCAAGGGACATCAAGAGGAAGCGAAAGCCAGCTGCAGCCTCCATGTCTAGCCCAACATCAGGTAACCTGCCAGTGCTTTTATAGTCATGCCCCTTTTGAGCAAAGCACCATAGGCAAAGGTAGTATTATTTTGGTTTGAAGCTAATGTAACATGTGAGAGGGCATATTGTGTTTTTGCATAGCATCAAGAGCTGCCTACTAAACAATTTTTTGGCAATGTAGCAATGTTAAGTTAATATAATTTGCAGTGCTTCTCCTTACTGTGAATAGTAATTTGCTTCTTCATAAGGTGTTATTTCCTCTGTCCTAAATTATGCAGTTCTCATGATAGGCAGTTGATCAGTATGCACAGAGTGTTCAGAGTCAGTATTGGGCTCACATTAGCTGGTGGCTCTGATGCCCTTTATCAGGGTATTTGTAGACACTTTCACAGGAGCAAAAATCTGCCAATTTTTGTGTAATCATTGGGTGAAACCACTTACTCCTTGTGGGTTGTGTTATTCTTTTGGATGAAAGTAGTTTTTTCTTGTTATGGGGATGTAGTCATTAAAATGCTGGTCTATTTTAATGTGGCAGATTTCTGAAAAGTCATTGATTAGTCAGCAGAATGTGAAAAAGCTTTGATCTGATGAACATGGTGGGTTTTTAGGATGTTTCTTTCTGTCCTTTCACCTTGCCCTATCTTGCAACTATCCACTGATACATGTTCTTCCAACTACTTTATTAATAACTTTTCTTGTAATCCAGTAACAAGGTGGTGGGTAAGATGATGGAAAAAACAGAGATGTAAAAACAGTGGGGAAGACCAAATAAACTGATGATTAATAGGAGGAAGTTTGTGTTTCTTCCTTGGGCTGCTGGATAGACAGAATTATGAAGTAGGGAAGAAAGCTGAGCTTTCTCTCCAGGCTACTGATCTGGATTGCAAACTGTTGGAAAGGTTCTGTACTAAAAAAAAAAGATTAATAATCTGTTGTTCAGCAAAAGTCTCATCTATTACTAATTATTTATTTAGGTTATTCTTTCCTGGCTCTTGAGTATTCCATTTTGAGATATTTGAACTTCTGTAGTAAAAGGGATAGTATCTGAAAAAACAGAGTCTTAGCACTGGAATACTAGATTTTCTTGTATGAGTGCTAATGTCTCACTGTCCCCTGTTACCAGTCCATTTATTCATTATTCAGAATGTATTATGTATTGCATTGCTGGTCACTTTCTATAAGGAGAGCTTCTGTTTCCATGCCTACATGTTTCAAAGTACTATTTAAGTTGTACTTACCTGATGAGGCAAATTTTATAGTGAACACTTCTTGAAGAGTTGAGAGTGCATCTGGAGTGGAACTTAGCTCTGGAAATAGCTCAAGGATTTAGAAAGCTTTCTTACTATGGATGAGGGAGAGAGGATTGTTACATATTACAAAGTAAGGAAGTGTAGTTAGTAGAGTGTGGGCAGCATGCTTATCATGCTGATCATCAAGAGACAAGGTCTGCAGAGTCTTTAATGGCCAGAAATGGTAAAGATCTCTTCCTGAGATCCTGTTTAGAAATATCCTCAGCCAAGTGAACAGCCGTGGGCAGGGTTTGCTGCAATACTGACTTGTGGAAAGAAACTTTTATGATTGGGTAACTGAAGTTGTGTGAATGATGTTCTACTACAGATTCCCAATTACAGCTGAAGCACAACCTGGACATTTAACTTGGAAACTTCTGGAATCTGATGTTATTTCTGTCAAAGGAGATTTTGTTATGCAATTACTAATGCCTAAAAAGATACATAGTATTATTCTGCAATAGTGTAGAATTAATTGGACACTCTTATGTTTGTTGGATATTGATGAGATAAAGATTTTTCCCCCTTGCCATGCATCTACTCACCCCCATATAAATGCCATATACTGGGGTTCACATGTGCCTGAGGAGTCATGGCAGTCTCATTTTTTTCACTTCTGAGGCTTTTAGTGTTTGTGGTATTTTCCGTGTGCAAAAGGTGAAGCACCGGTAAATCAGAATACAGGCCTGTGCCTGTCATGCAGACACAGAGTGCTGGATTTCTTCACCTTTAAATAGCTCCTTCACTGAGTCCAACTGCTCTCGTCTCACTTGTTGACCAGGTCCTGCTTCAGTGATCTCCTTTTTTGCAACCTGAGTGCCCCGTGGAGGTGAAGGACACAGCCTGAGCTGGCTTCATCAGTCAGCAGAACAAATGGGCTTGCTCTGCCGAACATCGGGCCATCTCGGATTCCACCTCTTTTATAGAGATGAGTGATGAAGAGGGGCTCGTTCCGCTTTGCCGCTGTATTAATACACATCAGGGGCCAGCTCCCGGCACTAAATCACGCTACTGCATACATCTGTTATCGGACTCCTCACCAGTGTGATGAACAAGACTGCAGATAGAGGCTTCCTCGTGTCATTCTTTATAGGATTTTCCTAAAAGAATAAATAGCTCAAATCTCTGCCAACACTATCCCCTGTCATTGTGATGAATTTAGCTTCTTTCTTAAACATGCAGCTACAAATCTTCCCCTGTCGCCTCACCCCCCCACCATCCACAGAAAGTTTTGAGTTGGATTTGGCTGAAATCAGAAGATGCTAATAAAAGGCAGATGAGATGTGGGTGCTATTTCTCTCCTCAGTGTAACAATGAGAAAAGTCAGCTAGAGATAATATTTATTTGGGAACCAAGGAACTAAATTTATTCCATGTCTTCTCACATACTTTCATGACTATGAGTATTTATGAGTTCTGGTAAAGTATCTTTTCCCAGAGACCCTTGCGTGAACATCAAAAAACTGCATTACTGTAGAAGTGCCTTGGGTCTCTATTGTATTGCTGTAGTATTCAAGTTCTGGTATTAATCCTGCTCTTTGAGGCTAACTGGCCTAAATACCATAACTGAGCTGTTGAGAACAACAAAAAGTGGACAGAAAATTCAGAATTAATTTGCAGTTCAGGAAATTACTTTTATCAAAATTAAGTTGGGCAAACTTATGCAAATATTCAGAGAGACTGAAAATTAATGTTTTCCACACTACACAGTTGAACAGTGTGAGCCCTAAAGCATGAGGCCTTTACCTGATAAGAACAAAAATCTGGCTGGGGTAGTTTGGCCGTAGAATAAGGAAATCTGGAGGAAGTTAAGGCTGACTGTACTGGATTAGACCAGAGACTCATCCAACTCGGTGACCAACAGCCAGTGCCTAGGGAGGAAGAAGGTCTGTGGTGGTAAAGGTCCTTTGACCTTTCAGTGATTTGAGACTTAGAAGGCATGGATAGTGTCCTTGTGTTTAGTTACTTTCCATTGCGGTACAGTAGATTTGGAATAATATCCTCAGTGGCACAGTAGAGCTTGTCTAAAAAACACTGCATAAAATGTTATTCTCTTGGAAGTTATTCTCTGGTTTGAAAGGAATCTGACGAAGACTGTCACGTCTGTCTTCATTTGTCAGAATAGGCCACGAGTACAGATGGTTGTGTCATAAATGGTGAACAGCTACCAGTCTTTACACTGATGTTTTTAATATTTGTGTGGTTTAGTCCTCTATGTATGTAGCAGTGCACATGGTAACTGCATCCTAATCAGCTATTACAGTGAGTCCAGGGTAAAAATCTGTTTAAATAGATTTTTGTCTGTCTTGGCATGTATTCACACTTAGCTTGTAAAAAAGGTGATTGTTAGCAGCCTGTGAAACTGCTTATCAGAGAACAGTCTGATGAGTAATAGCAATTTGGTGAATTTTCCCTCTCCTATTTCTTGCTAATTATTCACTCTTTGCCACTCTTTGCCCAGAAACAAGAAGCCAGTTTCAGTCCTTTTCTTTTTCTCTTTTTATGAAGAAAGATGGAGAGCCTGAGTGTGGAGGCTGCTAGCAGGGAGTGCATAGTGTTGTATTGGTGGTGATTGTGAGTTTAAAGACTGACTTAGTTGTTGGGGTTTTTTTCACATTTCATATGACCTTCAGATGGAGGAAGATGATGGACTGGATGTAAAATTGCAAGGTACTTTTGTCAGCTGTGTTGTAGCTGTATGGGAATGACTCACCCTTTTGGATTTACAAAATCAGCATTGTTTGGGTTCCAGATCTACTGAATGTGGAACCTCAAGCACTGAACTGACTTTTTATTTAAACTTCAAAGCAATCTGTCCTATAGTTGAGGCTTGCTGTGGCCTCTTTATCCTTCATCCACTACAGAGCAGCAGATGCAACTTGTAATTAAAACACACAAACAACTATTATCTGTTGTGAGATTACAATGAAGAGATGTATTTTGTATTGAAGTAGTTACTTGTTTAAAAAATTCTGTTTGTCCCAAAGACTCCTATGGCAATTACTCTTCTTTACCTGGCCCTGTTCTGCTTGTGAGGATTGAGTGATTCAGGATACTGAGAATTGGAGTAAACTCTCATATCTCTAGGTTTTTTGGCAATCATTCTGGAAATTTGGGCGGCTGTTGGGTTGAGCTATGGATCTGCAAATCTCTCTGGCTATTGTAGCCTGTCCCATTTTGAAGCAGTGGTTGTTTTGAGAAAATGAGAATGGATTTCAACCTAGTTTGGCAAGTAGTTTCTTGTCATAATATCCTGATTTATCATTTTGGATATATGTGGAGGTTCATGGTACTGCCCTTACTGGGTGAAGAGAGAGGTGTGTTTTCCTCTTTAGATGAGCTTAGCAACCTGAAATTTGTCACACCTTCAGAGACTTTGGAAGTCTCAAGTAGAGAGTTAATTGAGTATTTGTAAGGAGTCCAGGTTATTATAAAATGAATGATTGTGAATTGATTCACTTTAAATATGGGACAGCTCAAACCTTCGATTTTCAACAGGAGCTCTGACTAAGGGAACTAGTTAGTGGACTGGGAACTTAAGTTTTGAATGTGTGAATCGTTAGAGCAAAAGTGTTAATGCTATCAAGAACCTCTATTTCAGAGGAATTTGGATGAAGAACTTTTAGAAATTCAATAAATAATATCCTCATAAATGAAATTTTATATATATGAGGAGTTTGCCATGAAGTTAGTCGTTCTAACTTTTTTATTGCCTTTCTTACTGTCTTCCTCTGTTCCCCCTTTCCTGCAATTTTATATTCCAGCAACTTTATCTGTCCACATGGATGCAGCAGAATCAGAGCTACCAGCAACACCATCCTTGAGATCCCAGAACTCTGAGTGGACTGGGAAAACACCAGCAGCTGAGAAATCTACTACTGCTGCCTCCAGTAACTTTTTTAAAATGCCACCAGAGAAGAGCCCTGGATACAGCTAAAAGGAAGCATTGCAACTGTAAAGGCTTGCTCGATTTTGGAAGTGTTTTATTCTGGTGTTTGTCTGCACCAAACATCTTGTTTGGCAGTAGTGGTATCTTCCGTATTGGTGCGTGAATCGTGCCATCATCCAGGCTGGTCTGTGTGCCTCACACACCTAAATCATGTTTGTGAATCTATGTTTAAGAAAAGGTAATCAGTGTTGGGACTGCAGTGGCTTTTAGAAATTTTCCTGCTATCACTGTATTTATTATGAATCCATCTCTTTCCCTGATTCCAGCTCATATGTAATGGGTCATGTACAGGTTCTTTTGGGTTTTCAAATCTTTATTCACCCCCTGGACGTGTTGCTTGTTTGTGTATTTGGCATTTTCAGGGTGAAAGTCCTGCTGCCATTCAGGAAGGCAGGAATCTCCATCTGCTTGCTTCCAGACCAGAAGGATTTCTTGCCTGGGGAATGAGGAGGGAATACTGACACATTAAAACATGGAACCTGAATCCTGTATTAGCAGAATGTTTTCTGGCCATGTGCTAACAGACTCAGATCATGTTGTTTTTGGCAAAGCAAATATGGTGCTTGTCCATGTAGAAATTGCCATTAGCTCACTGGCAGCCTTGTCCATTCGACCTTTTCCTTCTCCCTTGTTATGAATGTCTTCAGTCTTTATTGTGTATTGCATGTTCATTCCTAAACCTCCTACTGGATAAGGATTTGGGAGAATTACTTGGACGTAAATGTGTGAGCTGGTGTCCTGGATAGAAATCCGGAGTCTTGAATATTATTGCAGTATGGTAGAAGAGTATACAAAACATCCATATCTCAGTGTATAAATTTAAAAATGTCTTTTAGCGTTTCTAAAGGATGCTTGTTGAAGTTAACATGCCATTGAACAAAAAAGCCATTTAAAGTGTCACCTGAGTTCAGAGCGTCATAGGTATAGATCAGACTCCTTCTCTATCATGCTTCCTCTTCCTTCAAAATATTGTCTGCTGTGCCTACCGGAGGGGTCTCCACCTGCTGATGATTGCACATTGCACTGCAGTGTACAATAAAGAGATTCTCTTCATGGAACTTCCACTTGGTCTGCTGTTACCTTCTGTGTTGCAGAAAATATGGACAGGGATTTCTTCCCTCTCTGTAATAACTCTGGAGCTTATCTTGGACTATGTTTTCAGAATATGTACCTGTACAGCATGTACCAAGGAGCAGGTGGCCTCACAGCTTCTTAAGTCCTTTAAGTCCTATTTGTATGAATAGAACTTTTTGCTTTCCTCATGTGGAGCTTTCAGACAGGACTGTTTAAACTTGTAAAGTCTGTTTTGATTGTGGCAGTGCATCTGGCACTCTTAAGCAGACAGCAAAATTTGCGTGATTTTACTGATTTTGCGGTGTTCTGTTCTCTTATGAATCAAGTGACTGAGGGACAGATTTGATTGGGGGATTATGAAGCAATGATTTATTTTAGCTGTGTATTAAAATGGGAAATGATCATAATATACAGAAAACAAACTGAATGACTTGCTAAATCACGATTGACGGATGTAGTTAGTTATACTACATGCACACTGTGTCTGATCCCCTAATACCTACTTATTCTTGGGGAGACATCCAAATTGGATTTATATTTTGCAGTACAAGCAAACTGTCAGATCTGTCTCTATAAATCCTTCTCAAAACATTTTTTTTTCTTTTTTTTTCTTTTATTTTATTTGGGGTGGTACATTTTAGAAGTAATTAGAACGGGGAAACCCTTTTTACCTTAATGAAGGAATACAGAAGTCCGTTTGGATTACAGGACAGGCTGTAACAGTTTATAAAGGAAGTAGTGTTCCTGTTTTAAAGTTGTCATGGCTTTGTCTTATTTGTAGCTGTTTTGAACAATGATGCCTAAGGGGTAACACAGGAAGTTTCAGCACTGGAGGGCCCGTAATCTAAAGCATCTGAAGAGAAGGTAAACCTGAAGAGTAGTAGCTTGACTATCTAGTACTCATGAATACAGTGAATGGGAAAGGTGATGATGTTCTCCTGACAGCTTGCAGATAAAATTTAGTATTTGAAGCCTTGTAATCTAAACTGCATGCTGTTGTAATGATAATGAGTGGTTCCCTAAAAGAGCATTTGTGAAATTGACTGGTTTTGATCTCATGGAGTATCCTCCACAGCCTCTCATGGTTTGAGTCTGTTCAACAGATTTACTCAGATTACTGACCATTCAGCTTTATGCAATAAATATAATTTATTTTATTTATATACAATTTTAGCCATTGTATTCCCTTTTAAAAATCAATGTGATATATCTTGCTACATTCTGAATATTCTTGAGTATTGTCCAAATGGTTTTTTCTCTTCCATTATGTCAGGATGTTTTAAAAACTTTTTCAAGAAAGGTGTTAGGGAATCAAGAGCCTTCATCTCATTGTGGTGGTGGAGGGGTGGGTTGCAGTGCTTCATGTGATTTTTCTCTGGGTGCAGGGAAAGAGAATTTATCATATTTTCTTATTGAGGTCAGTATCAGTGTTACCTGGTTAAGCCCTTACTTAGGTTGTAAGCTCCTAGGAGATATTTCTTGCCTTTAAAGGCAGATTGTACCCATGACAGTACTGAAGAGCAACTGTGGCAGTGTCTTGATAAGCCACACTTCCTGCCATGGCAATTTTTTGGAAGTTCCAGGAGACTCCAATTATTGCAGCTGCCCTGTCTTTTCTATTTCTAGGTTAGAGTCCATTTACAAATCAGTCAGATTCTTAACCAAATTTGATTCTCCTGAATGGTCAGCAACCTAAATGGATCATGTATCTTGTTACTCTAGGGTATTTATCAAAATATATCTTCAGACTTCAGTAACTTGATACAGATTTTAGTATCTGGCTGCAGCATTCTTGGATGAATAAAGTCCATTGTTTTGCCTCTTTTTTTTTCATCTAAGGCATATTTCTTAGAACTCACTCTGCTCACACATACTCAGTGTGAAGGATACTGCTTCCCATGTGGATTACTTGAGTAGAAAGGAGTAATAACATGCCTTGACTTAGTAGCTGTGCTTCTGTGAAGATGGTCCAGTATGTGATTATTGCTTCAAAGATACGTAGCTCACTCACATTCCACTTTTTGTCCACCAGGATTCCCCAGTCTTTTTTCAGTTTTGTCTTCTCTCTAGTTGTCTTTCTCCTTGTCCTTATGGGACACTTCACAGACAGGACCTGGGAATACCATATGACTGTGATAATCAAGTCTGGGAAATTCCTGAAGTATGTTGAAGATAATTTGTAGCCACAAGTACTCAGCCAGCTAGGAAAGATCCCCTCCTAAACCTGTTATTTATTAATAAAGAAGTACTTTTGAGAGATATGATGGTAGGTGGCTGCCTTTGCCACAGGATCATGAAATGGGTAATTTTAAAATATTTTATGTAATGAGGAAAATGGTCAGCAAGGTTCCTACCCTGAAATTCAACAGAGCTGACTTTAGGTGACTCAGTGAGCTAGTTACTAGTGTGCTGTTCCTTGAGTCTGATCAGTTTCTAGGAATCACCTTTTAAAAGCACAAGAGCAGGTGATCACTCTGTGTTGAAAGTCAAGAAAGCCATGCAGAAGACCAGCTTAACAGGGAACTCCTCTTGAATCTCAGGAAGAGAAAGAGATACTATGATCTCTGGAAGCAAGGTCAAGCTTCACAGAAAAATTACAGAGCTGTAGTTCACATATGCAGGGAGAAGATATGAAAGACTGAAACTTAATTAGAGTTGAAACTAGCCAGAACTGTTGTGTCAGACAAGCAAGGCTTTTTGAAGTACATAAATAGCAAGAGGAGGTCTAAGGAAAACACTGGACTGATATTTGTTATAGATGATAACCCAACAAATTGGAGTGAAGAAAAAGTTGGGGGCATTCAGTACTTTTTTTTGCCTTGGTCTCATTATAACACTGACAGACCTTGGGCTGCTCTGTCTTTTGATTTGGAGGACTGTTACTTTGGGAATAGTGACTTTGTTTGTGTACATGGAGATTGTAAGGGACCACTTGAATGTTTTTAAGTCTATGAGGCCAGGTGGGATTCCTCCCAGAGTACTGAGGGAGCTAGTGGTTGTTGTAGCATGCCCTCTCTCAATCCCTACCGAAGGTTTTGGGAGTCTGGGAAAGGTCTATGCTGACTAAAATCTACTCAGCATTATTCTAGTTCACAAGAAGGGCATGAAGCGAGACCCAAGAAACACCGACCTGCTAGTCTAGCCCCAGTACCTGGAAAAATTGTAGAGGAGATCATACTGGGTGCTACTGAAAGGCATTTAAAGTCCTTTCCAAACAAGAATCATAGAATATCCTGAGTGGGAAGGGACCCACAGGGATCATCAATTCCAACCAAACAGGTCCAGTGGGTGATGTGGTGGTTGGTGGCTGTCTTGGACACAGTGACCATGAAATGTTAAAGTTTTTCAATACTGGGTGAAATAAGGAAGTGCACCAGCAGAACTTCTACTGTGGACTTCCAGTGGGCAGGCTTTGGCCTGTTCAGGAGATTGAGAGAATACCTTGGGAGCCAGTCCTGAAGGGCAAAGGAATCAAAGAAGGCTGGATGTGCTTTAAAAAGGAATTTCTAAATATGTTCAGGAGCAGCTCCATCTTCTTAGTCCTCCTTTGGATGCCCCCTAATAGCTTTATATCCTTCCTGTATTGTGGCACCCCAAACTGCACACAGGACTCGAGGTGAGGTTGCACCAGTGCAGAGAAGAGTGGGACAATGCCCTCCTTCAATTAGATCATGATGTAAGTTTAAAACAGAGCAAATAATAAATGGCAAGTTGGTGAAAGAGCTGGAAGGCATATCCTGTGTCAAGTGGTGAAGGAATTTGGTTTTGTCTCATTTGGGAAAAGGAGACTGCTCTCTACAGTTTCCTGAGGGGGGGAAGTGGAGAGAGAGGTCTCTTCTCCCTGGTATCCAGTCACAGGGCACATGAGAATGGTTCAGAGCTGTGCCAAGGGAGATTCAGACTTGACATTAGGAAACACTTTTATACAGGGAGGGTGGTCAAGCACTGGAGCAGGCTTATTGGACAGATGGTTGATGCCCCAAGCCTGTTGGGGTTTAAGAGACATTTGGACAATGCCCTTACTTTAATTTCTGTTCAGTCCTGAAATGGTCAGTCAGTTGCACTAGTTAGTAATTTTAGGTCCCTTCCAATTGAACTATTCTGTTTTAAATGTTACCTTCATGACATTTCTGTCTTTTCATTCTCCAGTCTGCCCAAGTGCTCTCTTGATGGTACCCCCACCTTCTAGCATATCAGTGGCTCCCTTCCTCAACATGCCATTATTTCTGATCTTGTTGAGAGTATGTTCTGTCTTTTTCCACTGGGTCACTAATGATCACTGAACACTATCAATCCCTGTATTTTCTTCCAAGGCACGCTTTTCATAAGTGGCCATCATGCAGATTTCAAACCATTGATTGCTTAACCTGGCCAGCTTTTCTCTGGTCTTTCTTACTGGATGCTGTCCAGTCCATACCCTCCCCATGTGGCTGTAAGGGTGCTATGAGAGACTGCATCAAGGGGCTTACTGAAGTAAATGGAAACATCATTTGCTGCCCTCTGTGCATTCTCAGTGCCTATCATTCCATCATAGAAGACAGGTTCATAGTCTTGATTTTCAATCATTTAATGCTAGTCACCTCTTTGTCCTTTGGGTGCCTAGAAATGGCTTCCAAAGCTTGCTTCATGAAGCTACAGGGGACTGAGGTAGGGCTGACTAGCCTATCACTCCACCAGTACTCTTTCCTGTCTTTTTGGAAAGGTGATGTATATATACATACCCCTTCTTGTCTCTGGGGACCTCATGCAATTGCAACAGTTTTTCATAGATA